CATTGACGCCAACCGACTAGCTGACAGCACCTGGCTGTCCGGTCCTGAGTTCCTGCGACAAAGAAACCTGCCAAAACCGGAGAAGAACGACGCAACGGAATTGTCTGGAGACGACCCGGAAGTAAGACAAGTTTCAGCAAAGTCATCGAAGGTCATAAGAATTGACTCTTCACGTTTTAACCGCTTCTCATCTTGGATTTCACTTGTTCGTGCCATAGCCTTGCTATTAAAGAAAATCAGGAGCAGAAAAGTTGCCCAAGACGAATCCCGAAGCGCAACCCCAAACCACGGCGAGGAGGGCCTACTTYGAGCTGGTGTCACCGAGCGCCGCGAAGCCGAGACAGCTGTAATTAACATAGTGCAAGCTGAAGCCTTCCCTGAAGAGACCGCGATGCCAAACTGCACCGAACAGCCAGCCACCATCAATCGRAGCACCTCGAGAGCCAAGAAGGAGTCCCTCAAGAGGTCAAAACTCTGCGACCTAGACCCCTTCAAGGATGAAGATGGTACCCTTCGCGTCGGCGGAAGATTGAGACGCTCGTCATTACCCCTGGCAGAAAAGCATCCAGTCATCCTGCCTAAAGATCACCACATCTCGGAGCTGATAATCCGACATTATCACCATAAAGTCCATCAYCAAGGCAGGAGCATCACCCATGGAGCTGTGAGGCAAGCAGGATATTGGATAATTTCCGGCCACAGCGCAGTTACCAAGGTCTTGGAGAAGTGCGTAACCTGCAAAAGAGCACGAGGCAGACTACTGGCACAGAAGATGTCCGACCTACCAGAAGATCGTGTGGAACCAGCTCCTCCTTTCACCAACGTTGGTATAGACGTATTCGGGCCATGGCTGATAACTACTCGCAAGCTTCGAGGTGGCGCCGCAAACTCAAAGCGGTGGGGTCTACTATTCACGTGCCTCAGTTCCCGTGCGATCCACATCGAACTGCTGGAGACGATGGACGCCAGCTCCTTCATTTGTGCCCTTCGGAGATTCACAGCAATAAGAGGGCCTGTTGCAAGAATCCGCTGTGACAGAGGATCCAACTTCGTCGGCGGAAAGTCGGAACTGTCAGATTCCCTATCTGAACCTGATGTCAGGAAGATCCAAGAGCACGCATTGGATCAAGGGTGTGAATGGGTCTTCAACCCACCACATGCGTCGCACTTTGGTGGGGTTTGGGAACGGCAAATCCGCACCATCCGCAGTGTTCTCAATGGAATGTTAGCACAGATCGGGAGCTCTCAGCTCACAMATGAGCTCCTATCAACCCTCATGGCGGAAGTGACGTCTATCGTCAATTCCCGTCCTATTACAGCCATACCAACAGAAGCAGATCAGCCCCAACCCCTCACCCCATCAATGCTATTGACGGCGAAGGAGCGACCCCTCAAGCCACCGCCCGGGGACTTCACTCAAGAAGATCTGTATTCCAGAAGACGTTGGAGAAGAAGCCAGTACTTGGCCGACCAATTCTGGACCASATGGCGCAAGGAGTACTTGCAGAATCTCCAGCGTCGAACCAAGTGGCAAGCCCTCAAGCCAAACCTGGAGGTTGATGACCTAGTGATCATTAAGAGTGAGGACAGCCGTAGGAACCACTGGCCACTTGGAAGGGTGACGAAGGCCATCGAGAGTGCTGATGGCCAAGTCCGAAAAGCTGAGGTACGCCGACCTGATGGAAAGATGATGCTGAGACCAATCTGTGAACTGGTCTTCCTGATGTCTACCAAGCAGGACTGAGGACTGAACTCAAGATATGAACATTATCAGATAGAGTAGATAGTTTAGTTGCAGCTCATTATATACCCATCTATCCTTTTTAAAGGTGCATATTTAGCGATTATGATTCTTTAGTGATTCAGATTGATTTTCAGCAAGGAGTCGTATCCTTGGGCGAGGAGTGTTGTGTTTGATATTTTGTACTTTATGAGATATTAGTTCTACGTATTTCCGGTGTAATCTAATACTTTAGCGTCCTCTCTTAACTCGTGTTCTGGGAGCAGATCAGATGTAAGTGTCTTGTTATTTAGCCCTTTTATTTATTTTCTTATAGCAGTTTATTGAGTTTATMATCGTAATTAATTGTATATTTCTTGTAGTTTTCACCGTGTGATTTATAGTAAATAAATAGTGGAGTTGGAGCCTGTTTCGTTTACGAATCTCATACGGTTGACACTCGGCGCAAGATCACAACGCCCCGCACTGTCTTCGAGCGCTACAGCATCTACTGCTATTGCCCCTGGGTCAGGTTTGTATGAGACGTATTGTTTGAGTCTATAATTAAGCCGTGAGGCAAATAAGTCGATCTCTGGTTTTACTGATAATCTTTTAGAGCCTTCCTCAAATAACGTTTGATTAAGAGTCCATTCAATCTCTATTCTCTTCAATCTGGACTCTCGGTCAGCTATTACATTGTTGACACCTGGAACATGTGCTAGTGTCAACCAAATCTCTCTTTTAATGCACCATTCCCATATCTCTATATTAAGTTCATTCAGTTCCCATGAATGACTTGAGCCCATATTACTAAGGATGGTGACAGCTGTCATATTATCAACCATCAGTTTGACATGTTTGTGACTAACTTTATTTTCAAAAGATTCTAGAGCCAGTTTGATGGCTAACATTTCTAGATAATTGATGTGCTTTCCAGCCTCCTCTGGGCTCCATGGTCCCCCTGTAGCTATTCCTTTGCAATCACAGCCCCAACCAATTTTTGAGGCATCTGTATAAAGTGTAATATGGGGGTCCCCATTATTGATGATATTAAATGAGGTGTGTATAGAGTCTATCCACCATTTAATGTGAACTTTAGTATACAATGACAAAGTCATTTTTCTATCAAAATCTCTGTGCATTGAAAGTGCCCTTGTTTTTTCCATGTCTAGTCTCCTGTAGTAAAGTGGGCCATATCTAACCCCAGGGAAGCTCACTGTCATAAGACCCAAGAGTTTTGCAATGGTCCTGATGGTAGGTCTAGCTGTGCTAATGACCTCCTGACAGCAATTCTTTAATTTTTCCGCTTTTTCAGGGGTAAGCTTAATTGTCATATTACTAGAGTCTATAACAAAACCCAGGAATGTAATGACTTGACTGGGTATGAACACAGATTTTTCTGGGTGCACAACAAAGCCTAATTTGTCAAATAATTTTATGGTGTCTACAACATTGGCCAGACATTCCTGATAACTATCGCCTTGTAGATAGGAATCATCAATATATCCTGATGAAAGGTGTCCTTTCTCCCTCAAGTGGCAGTATACTGGTTTGAGTAGTTTTGTGAACTTTCTAGGGCACAGTGCTAAGCCATTAGGAAAGCATGTATATTTATATAACTGGTCGTCAAATTCAAACTTTAGGCATTTTTGGTCGTTAGGGTTCACAGGGACTGAATAGTAAGCATCCTTGATATCTATGGATTGCATGAAACAATTCTGTTTCATCATTCTGATAACCGACCATAATGTATCCATTTTGAAATAATGATACATAACAGACTCGTTAAGTTTTTTGAGGTTAAGTATCATACGTTGTGTACCATCTGACTTTGGTCGTAAAAATATTGTGGATATGAACTCGTGAGGCTCATTATCTGATAGCTGGATAACTTGTTTATCTAGTAATTTTTTAATATCTGACCCAACAATATGTCTCTCTTCAACACTGAATGTTTTCTGAGTAGGCGCTCTGGCCTGATAAGGGGTCCTGGTGAACTCAATAGTCTGACCTTTAACGGTATTCAGAACCTCAGAGTCTGAGGTAAGTTTTTCCCACAAATGGTAGGATTCTCTTATCCTTCCCGCTTTAAAGCGGTCAACTTTAGTATTCAAGTACTGCTTTATATTATCAAGGTTGATTTCAAAATTACTGACCTGTATGTCKTCCATGCTTAGTTCTTTCCCCCCTCCTTTCTCTTGTAGGAGGGGAATCTCGAGTTTTTTGGGTTTCCTCGGTATTTCCCTCTGTATTGGGACTGATAGGATCTTTTGAAATAATTG